AAGAAAGAAAAGGAAAATGCCTGCTACTGTGTATTCTGACTTAACAATTAATAAAAATCATACAAAACATCAAGAAAAAGAAAGACAATTCAAAACCAGGAAAATAGCTACAAAAAAAAAAAAAAAAAAGACCACAGTCCTAACATAGGATGAAGTAAAATATAACATTGGAGTAGGTAAGAGTCACAGTTCACAAACTCAAAACATACTTCAACTCCTATGCGGTGGATGGGTACCTTGTCCAGCCCTGCTTGGTCCTGGGAACCTGTCTGGGGCCAGGGATTGAAGGAAGAGCACAGACAGACCCATGTGCGGAAAGCTGGGGTTGGGCGGGATATGGTCTCTCTGGGGGAGTGGCTACCATACGGTTACACCTGTCACAACCCGGTTAACTCTTACACCATAGGGAAGAGTTAGCTGGTCTGAGTGGGAGGTCTTTGTAGGGGAGCAGTCCGGGCAGCAGGAAGCTGTGGCCACTAGTTTTTGCACAAATCACCAACGTCCACGCACACACGACCAAAGGAAGCTCTTGCCAAGTCCCACGGTTATGAGGCATTGGTCCCTGTCAGGAATACACACTCATTTGTGACTTCATCCATGGCTCTGACATTCTCCCGGGGCTTCCTCTGATTCCCACAGAGGGGTAACTCTCTGATCAAGACACCGAACTGTTTTTCCTTGCTGAAATGCTTGAGGTTGAGCCCAGGGTTTCTTGCATGCTAGGGAAATGCTCTACACTGAGCTGTATTACCAGCTTCTAAAATGAAATCTTCTGTCTACACAGGTTACTCAAATAAATGTCTGCTGTGGCAGCGCAAATACCCTTTGCTAGGTGACTTACAGCGTTCCTGCCCTGTAGAGTGGGACACATGAATGTTTTCCGACATTTCCAGGCTCTCATCTAATGAACACACACCCAGCATAGCAGTTGTTCACTTCAGTCTTGCCCGTTCCCAAAGTGCTTCCAGAAACTGCCCCAGAAACCTTAAACTTGACTCTCTTCTCTCGACAGCCAGTGACTCCTTGTGTCTTTGCAGAAGGGACAGCTTCATGGTGACCCTGGACCTGTCCAGAAGTCACATGACTTTGTACTTCCTTCTCCAAAGTCCATAATTTCTCTAACAACCTCAGAGTTGGGGAGGTAAGAGCTGAGGAAGGAAATTTGTGTGTCTTGTCAAACATCTTGTCCTAGGTCAAGTTTCACTTTTGGTACCTACTTGTGTGGGGGCCAAGGGGAAATAGAGCAAGGAGCCTGGGGAAGCATGCAAGAACATCTCAGAATATCGTCACTCACAACCTCGTCATTTGTTTGTGACAGGTCTCATGGGATCCAACCGGCCTCAAACACAGTATGTAACAGAGAGAGACTTTAAACCCCTGATCCTCTGGCCTCTACCTTCCCAGTGCTGGGATTACGGATAGGCACCACCAGGCATGTCTAAAGTTTCTGTCTTTGGTGAAGAGAATTTATTTTTTACGTTTGTTCAGCCCTCTCGGTAGCATAGAGGTTTGCCTTTTTAACTCTCCAGGCCAGTAAGCACTGTGACCAACTCCCCAGTATCTCCCTAGTCTATGGTTAATCTACACAGTTTGTGTCAACTGATTGGGGATGGGTTCAGGGATGGACAAGCCTAAGCCACTCTGAGTCAGTGGGATTTATAGCAGATTTTTTCTTTCAGGCCACCAACCTGTTCCCAAATCATGACATGGTGACTTTTAATTAGTTATGAATGGTTGGCCTTATCTTACACTCGTTTCTTGCTAGTTCTTATAACTTAACCTGTTTCTCTTTGTCTATCCTTTGCCTAGGGGCTTTTAACCTCTCTTTCTGTCTGTCTTTCTTGCCTTCTGTATGTCTTACTTTTACTGATTCTTGTGTCTGGCTGGTGGCCGCCTGGCTTCTGGCCCCAGGTGAGTCCCTCTCTTCCTCCTTCATTCTCCCTGATCTCTGCCCGCCTATCCCTCTCCTGCCTAGCTATTGGCAGATCAGCTTTTTATTTGATCAATCAGGTGCCTGAGTCAGGCAAGGTGAAACAGATGCAACACATCTTTACGTAATTAAACAAAGGCAGAGAAACAAATGTAACACATCTTTACACAGCTAAAGTCATAGTCCACAGCATAAATAAATGTAACACATCTTCGCCTAGTTAAAATGATATTCCACGACAGAGATTCTATAAGAAGCCTCGATGCTGGCTCCAAGAAAACACCTTTCTGCATCTGGAATGGAAAGAAAGCTGTTTCCTCTGTGAGTTAGGAG